TTTAACACAAAACTTGTATTAATTTAAAACTAATTAATAATAAATAAAGTAACTTTTTATATTTAATCTATATATTTATTTATTATATTCTCAAGATTTCTAATTCATCATATATGGTAATTTTTATTCAACGAAATTGACATCCTTGAAATTTCAACAAAATTGGTAGGACATCTACGCCTTATTCCCCTGGCACTTTCAAGCAAAGAAATTTCTTTGCATTCACGTGGTTTGCCATCAACTATTCTTCTTTGAATTTCTTTGCAAAATAGTTATTGACTTGTAATTTTAGAAGCTTTTTTTTTACCTCCCGAAAGTTCAAATTCTTTTCCTAAAATAAAATGGAATGTATTAAGAGATAACATATTAATATTCATTAATTAAATTTATAAAAAAAATTAGATAAAAATATTTTAAAATTACATTATTTTAATCAAACATTACAAAAAAAAAAAAAAAACTAAAACAATATCATTATTGTTTTAAAAGTTTTGATATTTTTTAATAAAAATTTATTAAACCAATATAGATTTTTATTCTTTTTTTTCGAAAATATGCTTGATAAACGTTTTTTTCGATATATTAATTAATTGGTTACTTGCCTTTACATATTAATCTTGACATCCCCGATCTTATGAACAAACAATTCCAGGGAACCATGCCAACGCTTCAGCATTTTATTATCTTCCATCTTCATCCTTTTGAACTTGTTTCTTTTGCACTGCTATGCTGCAATTTATAATATAACTTCATCCAATCCATTATCACAAAATGAAATCCTTATCTCCCCGACACACGTTTTTGTGTTAGGCCTTTTTTGTTTTGTGCTGATAATACCACTAATCAGTATGTTGGTATATCGTATAAAAATATTGCTTCTCGCACAGTTGTTTGGGTGGCTAACACAGAGAATCCAGTTATTGATTCATTGTAAAGTCTAAAGATTGGAAGTAATGGAAATCTGAAGCTTGTAGATGGGAATGAAGTAACTCTCTGGTCAAGCAATGTTTCTTGCAAGGCTTATGCATATGTAAAGTTCACAGGGTGTCTGCTGTGGAGTGGAGTGAAGACATATGCAAGAGTTCTCCAGTGGTGGGGAAGATCTTTTCATCCGTCTTGCGTCCTCAGAATTGGGTCACAATATAAGTGACTCAAGCAATATTTTCAAAATGAATTTAGTTTCTTCCCCCTTCTTTTCTTTTCTCTTCAGAATAGCTCACTCATCTTTATTTATTTCATTATTCTATCTCCTCATTTTTCCCCATTAGTATTTTCGGCTCACGGGGAGCTAAGAGTAGATCTCATTATCAGCCTCACAACGGTTTCTTGTATCATTATCTTGGGTGCCTTATTCTATGGTTTATGCTGGCAGAGATTTAAAAAAAAAAAAAAAAAGGTAATAAAGACCCATCCTTTTTCACATTCCTTTCTAAAACTTTAATCCACGAAATTAGGTCTTTCATTGCTTTTAATTTTTAATTCCAAACCATAAGACAAAGAAATAACAGAGCAGACTAAAAAAATACCCAGCCAGTAGCGTCAACATCCTCTCCTACCAAACGATACCAGATGTCTTAAACATTAAGGAAATATATATTTTCTTCACAGAAAAAGCTCCGCAAATCCCACAGAACTGAAGAATGCGAGTTTCAAACTGCGCCCTCTTTTGCTTCGCTTCCCTGGTTATCTTCTTCCCAACAATCTCCATCTCCATAGATAACTTAACTGCAACTAATTCTGTCACTAATGATCAAACTCTCGTCTCCTCCGGTAATGTTTTCGAGTTGGGATTCTTTAGCTTCCGGAATTCAGACAATTGGTATGTCGGAATTTGGTACAAGAACATTCCTGAGAGAGCCTACGTGTGGGTTGCCAACAGGGACGCCCCGCTTTCTAATTCGTCTGGAGTTTTAAAGGTTGTAGATCAGAACATTGTTCTTCTGGACCAAAATCAGAAACTGGTCTGGTCATCGAACATAACGAAAGGTGGTAACACTGTTGCGGAGCTGTTAGATTCTGGAAACTTCGTCCTGAGAGAAGCAGAGGATCCCAACAACTATCTCTGGCAAAGTTTTGATTTTCCGACCGATACCATGTTACCGGACATGAAGCTGGGTTGGGATCTGAACACAGGTTTTGACAGGTATATATTAATTTTGAATTTTTTACATTAAGGTTCTGCCAACTCGGCTAAGCTATTGTTGATATTTTGACAGGTACCTAACGTCATGGAGAAGCCCAGCAGATCCGTCTTCAGGGGATTTCTTGATAAAGCTTAATTACCATGGACTCCCGGATGCTTTTTTGTGGAACAAGCAAAAGATAGAATCCAGAAGTGGACCTTGGAACGGTGAGAGTTTCAGCGGCACTCCGGGGATGGAACCGCTGGATTATCTCGAGTTCAAATCTGTCACCAATCAAGACGAGGTGACTATCTTATTCTCTGTTACGATCAAGAATCTGTTAACCAGGGTGATCGTGAATCCCTACGGAGTTTATCAGAGATTAACCTGGATTCCTCACACCGAAAAATGGAACCAAATCTGGTATGCACCGAAGGACCAGTGCGACAAATACCAGAAGTGCGGTCCGCACGGTATATGCGACGCAAATGCATCCCCCGTTTGCAAGTGTCCGCGAGGGTTCGAGCCGAAGAACTTGCAGACGTGGAATTTGAGAGATGGGTCAGATGGGTGTGTGAGGAAGACGAATTTGGAGTGCATGGGAGACAAATTCTTGCACCTGAGAAATTTGAAGCTGCAGGAAACCACCACGGCGTTTGTGGACCGGAGTATGAGTCTTAAGGACTGCGGAGATCTGTGCCTGAAGAATTGTTCTTGCACTGCTTATGCTAACGCCGATATCAGAAACGGTGGCACGGGGTGTGTCACCTGGGTCGGTGAACTTCTGGACATCAGAGAGCCCCCCTCTGGCGGTCAGAATCTATTTGTTCGATTGGCTGCTTCTGACCTCGGTAAGTTCTAGGTCAAATTGCAATTTTAGCCCCTTAACTTTATGATTTTACACAATTTTCATCTTTCAAGTATTTTAAGTACTACTTTTGTCCCTTAACTTTAATAATTGCACAATTTTGAGCCCTCCGTTAACTAAGTGCCAACGTGACCGTTAAATCCGTTCAAGGTGGCATTTTTGATGACATGGCACATCAGACAATCAACTTACTGGAATAAAAAAAGCCAAGTCAGATTCCCAAACTCATTACAATTATTTAATATTAAAAACATTTTAAAATTACACCTATACCCCTATCAACTTTATCTTCTTCCCTCGATCCTCCTTCTTCTCCATTTATGTTCCTCAACAGCATCACTCAACTCTTCCTCTCTCTCCCTCTCTTTTCTC